ACTTTAAAGAGATCATTAAAGGAGTAAAATCTTTAAAAAAAATTTTCCTGCTGGGGTTTCCTGGCGTGCCACTACGAACACAGCGAACCTCTTGTATAAGGCTGCGAGAAAATAAAAAAGGACAAGTAGAAAAAGTTCTTTACTCACAAATCTCTTTTACAATCTATGACCGATTTTACATCTCGTGTCTGAAGCAAGAGTTGGAAATGTAAATACAATTTAATATGTTACGAGAAGAGGTATTTTACTCGTTGGTAATTTTATTCCTAAACTCGTTATTTATTTTTAATTGAAACATCACGGGATTTGAGGACAGACACCACCAAGGCAAACACAACATCGACGTAAAAATTACCAGTCAACGGAACGTGCACTTATTTGGTTAGTCATCTCAACAGGAAAACTATCTTTTTTTATGAAAACAAACATTGCTTTTTCATCACGACTTTTCGCGGTTAACGTTCAATGAAATCTGCAAAGGAAAAAAAATTAAGACAAGTAAATTTAATTATGTCGCAATTCATACTCAAAATTAGTTTGTCATAAGATGAAAACACACAGTCTAAATTGAAACAAATCCCAAAGAGAGACAGAACCAAATAAAAAAAGGAACGATTTTGCCTTCAGATAACAACAGTCCAAATAGAACTGACCACCCAAGAGAGACAGAACCAGGTGAAAAAAAGGGAAAGGTTCTGCCTTCAGATAACAACAGCCCATATAGGACTGACTACCCAAGAGAGACAGAACCAGGTGAAAAAAAGGGAAAGGTTCTGCCTTCAGATAACAACAGCCCAAATAGGACTGACTACCCAAGAGAGACAGAACCAGGTGAAAAAAAGGGAAAGGTTCTGCCTTCAGATAACAACAGCCCAAATAGGACTGACTACCCAAGAGAGACAGAACCAGGTGAAAAAAAAGGGAAAGGTTCTGCCTTCAGATAACAACAGCCCATATAGGACTGACTACCCAAGAGAGACAGAACCAGGTGAAAAAAGGAAAGGTTCTGCCTTCAGATAACAACAGCCCAAATAGGACTGACTACCCAAGAGAGACAGAACCAGGTGAAAAAAAGGGAAAGGTTCTGCCTTCAGATAACAACAGCCCAAATAGGACTGACTACCCAAGAGAGACAGAACCAGGTGAAAAAAAGGAAAGGTTCTGCCTTCAGATAACAACAGCCCAAATAGGACTGACTACCCAAGAGAGACAGAACCAGGTGAAAAAAAGGGAAAGGTTCTGCCTTCAGATAACTACAGCCCAAATAGGACTGATTACCCAAGAGAGACAGAACCGGGTGGAAAAAAAAGGAAAGGTTCTGCCTTCAGATAACAACAGCCCAAATAGGACTGACTACCCAAGAGAGACAGAACCAGGTGAAAAAAAGGGAAAGGTTCTGCCTTCAGATAACAACAGCCCAAACAGGACTGACTACCCAAGAGAGACAGAACCAGGTGAAAAAAAAGGAAAGGTTCTGCCTTCAGATAACAACAACCCAAACAGGACTGACTACCCAAGAGAGACAGAACCAGGTGAAAAAAAAAGGAAAGGTTCTGCCTTCAAATAACAACAACTCACATACGAATGACAAAACCGGGAAAAAAATGAAAAAATGAAGGTTCTTCCCTCACGGAGATAAGTCAGGGAACTGAAGACTGATTACCAGAGAGAGTGGGTAAGAAATAACAAAAGAACGAGAGCATCTTTAGGATTCTGCTTTCGAAACTGCGAAATAGTACAGTACGATTAGTAAGAAAACACACTAACCTGCTAAGAGTGCGTCATCTTATAGGGAAGGAATATTTGAGCTCTGATGTCAGGGTTCATTCCATAATTAGTTCATCTGGCTCATGTTAGGTTTCAACAGTTGGATAATACACCATGTGATTTTAAGCATCTGTCACCTGACTATCACAGAAATAATTCCTTCTCTTGCTTCGAAAGCACAGAAGTAAAGGTAAACCTTGCTTTGCTGATTAAATGGTTTGGGCATCATCATTTTCCGCTCAAAGGTTATTAAGCAGCGAGATTTATCGCGCGTCATCATATAGCTCTAGACAGAAATTATCAGGCATACAACCTTACCTAAAAGCCAAATTGGACAGGCCAGCGAGTAGAATTTCTTCCTCGCGAAGTAATACACAGTTAAGACCTTACCTTAAGGAAAGAACGATGGCCCCTTTTCGCAGATACCGCCGAATAAACTCGTACCTTCGCACAGAATTATCGCGGGATAAGTTCCCGCGCTTACCTGATGATTGGGACTTACTAAAATGATATTTTCTACTGAAAGAGCTCCTTAGTATGGACGCCAGAAAAGTATTATCAAAATATCTACCCAATCGTTTCAAGTGTTAAATGATACTCTTGTATCTCCAGAACATACTGCAGTCGAAATCTCTCTTGAAAACAAGGTCCTTACCGAGCGGCTCACCGGCCTCCATGCTGACTTAGAGTCAAAGGTCTGATCAGAGTGAAATATAAGTTGGCTAACACAATTTAATTTTGGTATTGTCGTGACAGAACAGATAATCGCTCTTTGCTTCACAAACCAATAGATCTGTAGATCACGGACAAAACATGCTGGGTACAACAACTGTTACTTGATAGCCATGTCACGCACTACAACCAGGCTATCCTCACTACGGCTTAGCTAAGCTGTTCTTATCGCTGAATCATTCTACAATTATGAAAATTGCCATTCACGACATGAATGTGTAGTTATTTCTAAAGAGAAAATTGTGCAAAAGAGTCCTAAATTTACGTAGCACTCCTAACGCGCAAGCCGCGCGGATCCTCGCGCCTGTTTACATTTTAATTGTTAACTTCAATTAATTTCACGCTCGAAGCCAAACACCTCGCTTTCACTTGCTAATTGAGCCCTCTCGCTTTACTTTGACAAGCCTATGGATCATTTTACGCATCCCTGGTGTGAATTCTTTTCTTGAGCAAAGCTCGTCATGTTATTTCACGATCAGAAAGGTGAATCTTATGTTTGTTTTCATTGTAGTTGTATGGATATTCTTTTTTAACTAGACCCTGTGAGCAGGGTAACTGGGATACCTGGATGGTACTGGATCCTTGGAATCAAGTGTAGTGATACTGCGGGTGTCGGACTAGTATACTGAAATAGTTCGCTCAAGTCTGGCCAAGGGCATACACCTATTTCAAAACATAGGCATGCTATGCGTGCAAGAGTTCCTTTTTTGTAACTAACTTGTACTCACATTGTGAGTGATGTCTACATTCTTACAAAAGGAGAGAAGAATATTAATATGAAAAAGAACGAAAATGTCGAATTACCTCACTCACAGGTATTTTGTGGGAGATTATGTGTGTTTCGCGAATAAATGTAACCAAAAATAAACTGTATTGGTGCCACGGATACCTGTTAGCACAAAATGCAGACAGCAGGCTGCAGACCGGATATAAAATATAGACTGCAGACTGCAGAGTGGGTACAAAATGCAGACTAAGAATCTGAAGAGTTTTTACGTCTGGTATATAATAACATGTCATCTCACAGCTTACCGAGCGTCACGCAATCGCTTTTCTGCAATCCGCCTTCACGATTATTTGCACTATTGTGGAATATTCCTGGCCCATTTCTTGATGAAAATCGATCGTAATATTATTTCAAGCCTTCAATATAGTCTTCTAACTTTGCGCGCGAGTTGGTTGGTGTGATGTCTGTACAGATTTTATCAACGTAATAAAAGTAGATGATGTGAACAACAGTGATGGTAAAGCAAGCTTAAAACGGCAGAAATCGCCAGAAAATACAACGGATACACAGGGTATGAGTAAGTTTTATTGATTTTACGAGAAAAATGTTCATATTTCGAAATATGTATCGTTGCAAATCCACCATACTTCGTTCCCTGTACTATTCCTTATAACGTGCAGTTCCTCTCGTAACTTAACACCGGGTCACACAACGCGTGATGCGTTCATGAATTAATCGTTGGCTTTTTCTCGAGACGCAAGCTTGGGCCGCTTGTGACAAGACAATTGCGTAAACAATATTTAACATAACAACATTATACACAAAAAAACACAGGGTTTTGGATCACGTATTTATTAAAAAAGAATATCCATACAACTACAATGAAAACAAACATAAGATTCACCTTTCTGATCGTGAAATTAATACCATTCGTACTGTTATCGTAGCTACGTTCCTTGCCATCAAGTGAATCCAATATGTCGTCTTTCTTCACAAGCAGTTTGCATCCGTTATAGTTATGTTCTTCAGTCTCACGGTAGTAGTGTTGTTCAATAGATTGCATAGAGTATATGCAGTTTGGTTTCAGATTTCAGATTTTGCTTTTTACAACATGTGAACGTTTTTCAACTAAGACATTGGCATACTTAGCATACAAGGCATTCACGGCTTTCATGGCTTTCATGGCTTTCAAGCGTTCGCGACTCAATCCGTTCCAAAATTACCGCTCAATAACATCTTTCAGTGTGGATTAGCCGCGATTAATACGACTTGTATATGCGTCTGTAAGTATTTTGAGCGTTTGCGCCAGAATGCTCCAGGAAATCGCAATCTAATTACGTTGAAATACAAAATAACTGACCAAAGAGTTTTATAAGCAAAAGCTTGTGTTCGTTATGTGACCCGGCCCTGTCTGTGCATGACAACGTCAATCATCATCAAGATAACACGCGTGATCAGCATGTGAACACCTCATTGGATCACAGTTAGTTGTCATGGTGTTGAGGGCCCAATGACCTCTGGGTACTATTGCGCAATTTTTCCATTTTGTGGCGGAGGAAAAAAAAAAAAAAAAAAAAAAGACGACAAAAAAACAAAGGCATTTTATGACTGGGCTACCACAGGTATCCCAGTAATTAGATTATATTTCCTGTCACGCAAGCCTCCTACTAGGCTCACGCTATAGAAGAGGTGCCGGATGGGAATGGTTCTTCGTAGACTGGGCTACTACGAGGTTTGTTTCCTAAATCAGAGAAGTCGAAAAAAAGCAGAATCGTTTTCAATGCTTTATTTGATTCATTGATACATTGTTAACACCTTTAATAAGCTTCAAAACTTTCAGCTGTTGCTTTCCATAACCTCATAAAGCCCTTTGATATCCATGTGCTGGCTTTTTAGCACTTTCCTCTTCATTCATAAACAGAAATAAGTAAAGAGGCTTACAGTCTAGTACATAAGATCATATGAAAATCATATTTGCGCTATTTCTCTCTTTGACCCTCAGTTATTGCTAATCTTGCCTTCAATCCATTTGACGAGATACGAAACTCTGGCATAGACACCTGGCCTTCCCGGTCGTGCGCAGCCATATCCCCAGCTGGTAACACCATGTACACTGTACCTGCCATCGGAACCCTTGCAGACCATTGGACCGCCACTATCTCCCTGACAGGAATCTTTGCCACCCTTTGGAAATCCTGCACACACCATAGACTCGTGTAATTCATTTCGGTAATATCCTTCACAGGTTTGTTTTGACATTATGGGAACTTGCACTACTTGAAGCTTTTCGGGCTGGTTTCCATTTTCTTTCAAATTGCCCCAACCGGTGATGGCGCACGATGACCCAGGGTTTGGATCAGATGAAGGTAGGCAAGCGAGATTTGTGAAGCTTGGAATAAATAAACGCCAAATCAATATTAGGGACTGGCAAGGGAATATTTCATATCCTCTTTAAACTGGGGTGGGGGGAAGGAAGAGGAAAGTTGGATGCTTTTTGTTTTGCCACGGTAAAACTTAACTAATCTGATAAGACTCTCTAAGTATTCCGATGCTGCCACCGCATCGGCAGTCAAGTTTCTATAGTACCCCTTTTATACTTTGTAAGCGATGACTCATCCCTTCTTTGTTTTCCGTGACACCCCTGACAACCATGTGGTATTCCCAAAATCTCCCACCCCCGACCCCCTCCGGCAATAAGTAATGACTGGTCGATTTAACCAAAAACGTTTTTGCTCCTCTTCTCTGTTTAAAATTGGCGAAGGGGCTGGTAACCTAATATAGGAAAACATAATAAAAACGCAGTGGGCAAATTGACATACTGAAATACTTTTCGTTAAGATGGCCTTGGAATTTATGTGGTGTTTGATCTGAAATGAACAAAAAACTTTCCTTCTTAAGCTTTCTCTTTTTGATCACGAGATTCAGTGAGAATAATACATGGGCGCGCGTAGATTTAACAAATCGACAGTGGTTTAGTGTGATCTGTACTCTTATCGAGTGGTCTGTACTCTAATCGAGAGGTCAATACTCTTATCGAGTGGTTTGTACTCTTATCGAGTGGTCTGTACTCTTATCGAGTGGTCTGTATTCTTATCGAGTGGTCTGTACTCTAATCGAGAGGTCTGTACTCTTATCGAGTGGTTTGTACTCTTATCGAGTGGTCTGTACTCTTATCGAGAGGTCTGCGCTCTTATCGAGGGGTCTGCACTCTTATCGAGTGGTCTGTACTCTTGTCGAATGGTATGTACTCTTGTCGAGTGGTCTGTGCTCTTATCGAGTGGTCTGTACTCTTATCGAGTGATCTGTACTCTTGTCGAGTGGTCTGTACTCTTATCGAGTGATCTGTACTCTTGTCGAGTGGTCTGTATTCTTATCGAGTGGGCTGTACTCTTATCGAGTGATCTGTACTCTTGTCGAGTGGTCTGTATTCTTATCGAGTGGGCTGTACTCTTATCGAGTGATCTGTACTCTTGTCGAGTGGTCTGTATTCTTATCGAGTGGGCTGTACTCTTATCAAGATTCGTCATCACAACGGTCAAAATGTGGTGGACTTACGAGGCGAGGTTGTGGATTAACGATTTTCCGCTTTTCTTGCTATGCAAGTTAAAAATGTCCATTTTGTAAATTACAGATTTCCATTTTGCAAATTACAGATTTTGATTTGGTTTCATTGCCTTATTGCAAATTACTAACAGTAAACCCTTGCTGCGAATCATAAACAAAAAAGAAAAAAAAATGATGGCATTCATTAAAACAATTGAGGCCAGGCGACATGTGGACGAACAAGAGCTCTGGGATGTTCGAGAAGTTATATTGTGAAAATTGTTCGTAATTTAGCACGAATTCTGTTATGGTTTTTCTCGGGGCCGCAAATCCTTTCAAAACAAGGAATAACGCGCCAGGGGTTATTTAAGAGAGGAGCTAAGTCAAACCGACAGATTAGTGAATGAAAACTTATATATTTGTGGTCTACTTACTCGTTAAGAGTAGCAGGACTCTCAAGCTTCAGGAGGGCAACGTCATGACTCATATCTTTTGGCTTGTTGTAAGACTCGTGCGTAATAATTTTAACCACCTTGAACTTCTGTTCACCTTGAGATGTGGAAGGTTTGTCCACTCGATAATGTGCACCCATCCTATTAATGTCAGGAAAAATATAAAAAGTAGAAAAGATCTGAATCCAATCTGATCATTATTAAGACTGTGCTTGAAAACAAAACATTACTTACAATACGAAAGGGTCGAAATAAAGGTTCTCGTGGTGAAAGGGATGTTCACCGTGCAAATATTGTTGAGCAAACTTGCACGTGACCAGTATCTGTTAGGGAGTGGGTGTATGTCTCTTATTTTATTTTATATTTTTTAGGAGGGGGTGGGGAGTGGGGAGGGGGTGGAGTTCCCGTGAAATTTGTTTGAGCTCTGTATGTTGTACACCAGCTGGGCTGTGTTGCTCAAAACGCAGTTAACCTTAACTCGGGGTTGGTGTAAATTTTAAGTTTAGTTTTACAGCTCTGCAAATTGATTTTTCTTTGGTATTTTTAACCTTTTAGGTTTTAACCTTAGACATATTGAGAAGACCCAACAACACCCTTCCTCTTATGCGCTCTAAATGAGAAAATGAAGTCAAGGTTTCCTTTTAATCCTAGGTCAACCTTGATCCCTCTTTGAACGACGCGGCCCAAAAGTATAAAGAAAACTTAAAAGATGTTAGCCTTGGTAAATTAGAGGTCCTCACCGAATGACAATATTTTTAGGCTTTTCACCCTCCACGCAATGAGCTGCAGAAAGTACCCACTGTGGTCTAATCAAGGTTCCACCGCAAAACTGGTAACCGTTCTTTTGGAGAAGGGCTTGCCAAGGATAATCACCTCTTTTTGCTTCCATACCTCCGACAATCCTTGCAATAGGACCTTTACCGCAATCGCCTGATTGTTGATGATTTAATGTGAAAAGGATTTTCATGCAAGTAAGAAAAATGCGCTCGTTAATAACCTGAAGAATATCAGGGTTGTGATTGAGGATCTGAGCACAAATTTTCTCCTTTTTATTATACACAAAAACTGTCCAAGGGAAAATAAAAAGTTACGAGCAAACCAAAACAGGGGAAATGAAATGGAAAAATATCAATATTTTCGTGGTAGACACGAGAAACCTAATATTCATTGAAAAGAGATTTATCTAAAGTGCCTATTCGTCTAGCTATTTACTTTGCATCTTATTTTCTATTCACACATTAGCAGGAATTTCTTAGGGTTAGATCAAGATTAGTTTCATCTGTTTGAGCGCTGCAAGTGTTCCCTCCTTCTACTTAGTTTTCATCATTTTCAAGGGTTTCTAAATGAACCGAATCATTACTGGCAGCATTTCTGGTTTCGCCTGTAATTAAGGAATATGTTGAAAAAAAACATTCTTTTCTTTACCAGGCGGGGACGTCCCAGGTACTGAAGGAGTGTTTGGTGGTGGAGGCGAAGGTTGACCTGTTGGTGGTGGAGGTGTTGGTTGGCCTGTCGCTGGGGGACTGGGTCCACAATTATCCGAAAGCGTTATGTCATCGATGGCTATGGAATCTTTCTTTTTCCCTCTCACACCATATACCACGATCTGTTTCCATTCAACAAAAAAACAAGCAAATACGTGTACAAAGTAAAGTATTGAAAAGGATAAGAATGTGTCATAAAAAAGAATTGTGGAGAGAATGGAGAATATGAATACGGATTTGAAATAACAAATTGATATCTTCTATTAATTTTTTTTATAGATGCCCTAACAATAAATAGCTCATTTACGATGTTTCGGTGGATTGCTTGGTTGGTCATGAGACCGCAAATTTCTTTTTATTCTTTTATCTAATAGTGTCAATGTTCTCAGATTATGAAAAAAGGAAAAGGGGACCGAAGGATACAAACACAAATTACAGCCTACCTTCTTGTTTACTTTATTGATGGTAAATGTTGCTTTGTGCCATTTGCCATCTTTTGTAGCTTTCAGATCTTCAAAGTGGCGACCGTCGACGAACACTTCAATTGCGCTACCTTTTGCTCCCTTAATTTTATACCAGAAGGAGAGACATTTATCCATAATTGAGGTCTTAAAAAGGAGACCAGCATCAAAGTTTTTCTTGCCTTTTCCAAGCAGCATATAGTGACCTGTATTAAAATGATAAAGATTTAAGTATTCTTAAGACATTTGCGTAGATTTGGGTCAATTCAATGTTGAACCATGTCACTCTTTGGGTAAGGTTGAAAATGCTGTTGTCTCACTTGTTTGCTAAGGCGCGAGTATGAAGAATTCAATAAACAGAACGTATTTCTGTTTTTTTTTTGTGGAACATCCATATTTTAAAAAAGGGTTTCACAGACAATCTTCAATAAAGGTGAGAATTGAAATTGCTGCTGTGTGAGAAAAATTAAAAGTAAAGGAAAAGGACAGTCGGGGCTAGGTTCGGGAGGGCAAATTGCCATGATAGGTGAGTCTAGAGACAGCATTATATTTAGATGGTGATGAACCCGAGAGAAAACAATTTTGATTGTTGCTTAACTTTTTGCTTTCAACCTTTTCTCCCATCCTGGCACGATCTCAAAATCATTCAGTGCAGAAATAATCAGATTATACACTTATTAGATCGTTTAGCTATTAGATAAGGAAATTTCCAAATGGCTAAAACCCACCTTCCCCTTGGGGAGTGTTTCCTTGACGTCGAAGCCATTTCAGACGGCTTGAGGGATCGTTTTTCCATCCACAGGTTCCTTGCTCAAAACTGCAATCTTTTCATCGAGTGATTAAAGCATAGAAACAAAAAAGGTAGAAGAAGTTAGAAGAAGGAAAAACAGTAAAGAAATAAATTTATGCTTATTTCGTCTGATTCACTTTTCTGGATACCTTGAGCGAGCGAAAATACTAGCAGATTGATCAAAATCAAGAGTATCATCTTGCGGCCTCTGTAAAAGAAACTGTAGGTGTGTGTTGCGTATGGGTGTGAAATATATAAAGATTCTATTTAGAGTAAATCAAAGCTGAAAAAACTTACTTAACTCATTGTCAAACCTGAATACATTGACTAAAATTTGTTTACAACTCATTTTTAATGTTTTATGAAGATTTTAAATGTTTTAGAGAGGGAAAAACATACGTTTGCACAGAAGGTTCAATAAACTTGATTCACTTAGTCATAAAAGTATCGGATGCTCCAAAAATGCTGGGGGATGTTATTCCATCATCAGATATTCATTCCATCGCTGCTCTACCATGTTACCTTCGCGCATCTCTACTACCCACGTTCCCTATTCAGCCTCCTATGATAGTATGGAAACATAAAAGAAAAAAGTTGTTTACACAATCGTTTTTTGAATAAACAAGCCTTTTTTTAAAATTTTTTTAAGCAAACCTTTTAAGTTAAAGTGGTTTCAAATTTATTCATACTTTCACGATCTCCGATACTTCCTTGATGTTTGATAAAGTTTGGATTAAAAAGCTTTGAAATATCAGTTATTTCTTGTTTGAACGTAACAAATTTAAGAAAAACTTTATTTTTCTTCATAACGTATTAAATTTAGACTTAAAAAGCGAGAATACTTATTTCAAACAAGGCGCAAGAAAGACACTCTCAAGAGAAAATATTTATTCAAGCATTCTTACACATTTGACGGGATGATCTTTACAATTAACAAAATCTATGGGATACTTAGTGATTAGGTGTAAGCATTGTTTCCTAAAGAGTACTTGGAGTACATTCATTATAAACAGTTTTTAATTAGTTTTCAAACAATCGAGTACTACTCGAGTCATTTGAACTTTTAGCGATTGCAAAGTAGGAACAGACTGCGTTCTTTAAGTACACACAATGAAGATTTCAATAGATAATCAACATCTGTTCAACGAAGTGGAGATGGGTAGTGGTGGATATTTACTGAGCCATAAAGCGGTTAGGGAAATATCCACCCCTAGTCACCTCCACTGAGGTGAATACTAGTGTATGTATACAAAATATGATTTTAACTCGTTTATTCCAGCAACGATTACGATCTTTTTTGGGCGCTAGTCCCGCGCGAGCTTTTAGTGTTTACTAATGAATTATAATGTTTGTTGCAACTATTAAAAGAACTTTAGAAATAGAACTTAAACGTGGTAGAGAAAACTGTAAAATGTACAATTTCCAAATTTCGATAAAATACCACTGGCAGCCTCAAGCATTTTTAATATTCATATTTCATGTCATTTCCTCGGTCCATTGTTGTTTTTCGAAATTCTACTTTTAAAGGCTGTCAGATAAGTTACGCAAACATCATTATCGTTAGAACATTTTAGTTGGGTTTTTAATCGTATTTACTTATTGATTAAACAGCGAGCACAACATTTCAGTTCTTAACGTTTGCAGAGTAAAATTACTTGATTGTGCATTTAACTAGTCCCGAACTACTTATAACAGAAAAATCCGTTCCTTTTCAGTTTACCCATTAAAGACATAAAATTTTTTAATTGTAGAAGATCGTTCTAGAGAAGCACATACAGCATACTTACAAATAATTTTTGGCATGAAATTTCGTGAGTACCACGTCGCACCGGCTTTGCAAAAAGCTGATATGAGTACCAAAAATTAGGATTTCGAAGAAGAAAGCTGTTTCAGAAGCACATTTTGGTTCGATCTATTTGCATTTCCTCCCACCCTCTCCCCTCTGCAATCACAAAAGTGTTATAAACAATATAAAAGGCCGAGCACGGAACGTAATGCTGGAAAGGAAACATATGTCAGCATTGCTAGAAACGGGGAAGTTTTTTCAAGATAGATTGTATGTAAATTGCATCATCGTTTCCTTTTACTACACATTGTCAACGGAACGAATATAACAGGATGAAATAATGGGAGGATGAAATGATCGATATTGTTATTGATATATTCAATGCTACCGCAATCAAATGTTCAGAAAGCATTTTAAGTGCTTTTGGGAAAAAAAATCTACGTTTTGGCACAGACCCCAGCTGTTTCTACAAATTTTAAATAGCAGTAACTTTTTAAGATATGATTTACTTTGAAGAAAATCAGTGTTTGCTTATAATATCTTTTTTTTTCTCTTGGGGTTTCACTTATAAACAAATTTAGAGAAAGATGTTTCTCGTTTTTTTTGGTGGGTCCCTATAAACTTCGTAATGGCCTTCCTCACCATAGAGTCTCCACGGCTTAGTGGTAGAGCATCGGAGCGCGGAATCCGGAGGTTTGAGGTTAAATTCCTCGGGAGGAATCAAAATATATGTCTCTTTTTCTTTACCGAGCTCAAAACTGCCAATCTTTCACATTCTATATATTAAAAAAGTAGTTTGCTAATAACAAACTTATCATTAATTGAGTTGATAAGAATCTCCCTGATGAACGGACAGGAATATAATTCAAAATAATAATGTAGATTGCTGTTTTGAACAAAGCTTCTCAAACAGGCAAAACGGCAACTTTTCTCAATCAAGCCCTTAATAAAAAAGATGACATAAAAAGCCGATATTCAACTATTTCTGGAAGTTTATTCATTTGAGATTAACATTATCCTTAAGTAGTAAGTCAAGTGCTCATCATCTGATCGATCCAATTTCTGAACTTGCCAACACGAGCAAACACCGTATATCGCTCGGCCGCAGAGCATCTTGGGGAACCCCAGCTGACAGCACCTTGCAGAACCCAGTTCCCAGCGGAAGTCTGACAAACGTAAGGACCACCACTGTCTCCATGGCAGCCACTTAAAATAGTTCCATTGACGCCAGCGCAAATCATCTTTTGAGTTATTTGAAGAGACGAGCCTCCTAAAGATATAAACAATGATGGTTTCAAAAAATCTAGAGTTATGTTAATCCTCTTGGACCAATCACTAATATTTCGATACGTAAAGGCCGCAATCATGCAAACGCAATTAATCCATGCATCTTTCTTACGTAGTGATAAGGAAACATTTTTAACTTATCAGAAAGACACCATCTAGAGGTTCTACCTGGAGAGCTGGCAAGTTTCTTAGCACACTCGCTGTTTGTGACTGGAGGTAAATTCGCCTGTTGCAGTATGTGATGTGAGGACCCGGGATGCTTAATCTTGCCCCAACCTGTGCAAAGGACATTTCATCAGAAAAATAGTGAACAAGGGTGAAATAGAAGAAATTAAATTACCAATAAAATTGTGAAGGTTTAATCACTTTATCTTATGCCTGGCATACTTCAGTCACTTCGATGCCCGTTTCCCGCGGAATCATGGTAAAGTAGTAATGTAAAATTCACCAATTATATCTCGAAAATTTCGGTAGAAAACTCTTCGTGGTAAACTTCTGTTTCCCTGAAGGAAACCTTAGTTAATAATTTTATTAGCTTTTGTCGAGAATCCATATTAACATTAGTGCGGAGCGTTGATACCTCGTTTTCAACAGAGAAGGATTCTTAATTGCAATAAAAGTAAAGTATGCTTTGATTTCAAAGTTTTGAATCATTGACAAGCCTTATTGGCTAAAATTGAGCCTATTTGACGTGGTTTTTGAGCCATACGCACTCTCAAAACTATTCCTTTGAGGTTCTAGATGGCAAGGGTTTAATATGCTCGATTGAAACATATCGATTATAATAAGTTGAACTAAACAAACCCGTGATAAAGCATCTAGAAGACGTGGGAACAACTTCATCCTGGGAAGGCAGACATACAGTTTTTACTCTGGCATTCAGGGTAGCTGGTTTAGATAACTGAATCAATGCGATGTCGCTGTCGATGGGAATTTTGTTGTAGTCAGGATGTACGATTACACGTTTGGCAGGAATATCTTCTTCAGTTCCCTCATTAACATGACGGTTATGATCTCCAAGGCGAATCGTGTAGTAACTACCAGGTCTGTAACAAAGTCGGTGTTAAAGAAATGAATTATTTGCGAAGATAGAATGAGTACGTAACAAAGGGTCAAACTACGTATGTATTTCGGAGAAACTTGTGCTCGATAATACAGAATTTTCAGTACTTGATTACAACTCTGGATCCAAATTTACAAAAATATCCGATGGCCTCAACGGTGTTCAACGCGAGTTATCAAGACCCGCTTGGTTCGAAATTCTAATCGTTATCGGTCGAGTTGGTAGTGCGGCTTTCTTAAGTCAATAGACTGAAGAGCTATCACAACAAAAGCAGCATTTAATTATAGTTTGTCAAGGTAACGCTCTTTGCCTTACGAAAATGGTGCGAAAGTGTCAATATAAAATACAAATGTACTTACTGTCCTCTTGAGATGCAATGAGCTGCTGTGACCACCCATTCAGGAGTTATCAATGATCCGCCACAACTGAATGATCTACCACTTCCTCTTAACAAAGCAATCTGAAAGGAGAAAAAATTCCTAAAAATTAAGAAGAACCCGTAAAAGCACCGTAATCTAATTTGCTGCATCTGTAACTTAAACGAAATAAAAACATAGAGAAGGAAGTCGGTGACCTCATGTGTTATTCTCGAGTTGCATTCAGGATTTCAAGGCTCATTTTATCCGCAAAGTTTTCAAAAATAATTGTAGCCAGCTTTAATTAAAAAAATAAAAATAAAAACTGATAGCTGATTTTGACACTTGAAAATTGAGGTCATGAAATTAGTTCTTGAGTTATAGGAATATAAATGAATAATTATCAAGAAACAGCCGTACCTGCCACGGCCAACTCCCTGGATTTGCGTTCACTCCTCCAATAACCCTTGATACTGGTGATTTACCGCACGATTGGGGCGACACTGCAGAGTAAAAGAATCGTAGAATCCCAAACGATTAGAAACAAGATCTTTGTCACCTCTTTTTTTTTTGCAAACTAGTGACAAATCTAGGTATTTTCGCAATATGATATTCCTTACCTGGTCCCTGTGTTGTCGGTGGGATAGGGGGAACAGACGGTGAAGGGGGAACTCCTCCGCAGGAACCATCTTGTATAGTTATGTCATCAATGGCAATGTCAGCCTGATAGGAGTCCCCTGAAACTCCTTCAATTGTAAGCTAAATAGGAAAATTATTATACATGTTACTTCCTTCCGTCAAAACGTCATATTTTGTTATAAGTAAATTGATCGAGACGTTGCCAACAAACATAAGTTGTCACACATGGATTATGACAGAAACAGAAGTAAAGGATAACAAACGATGTTCAGGAAAAAATCAAGTGATTTACAAAATTCCATCGCAACAGATTTTACTTGATCTTCGATCAAGCTCATGGATCGAGACTGAATCGATGTCACTATTGTCATATTCAACTATTAAAGAACGTACTATAGCTATCGTAAGTTAATTTGCAGTATTTCGTCAGTACGACCGAACAACTTACTTGTGCCTGAGTCGAGGCACAGTTAGCATCACAAAAGCCCGACCAGAGATCAACCAGTTTCTACGCTCAACTTACGTCATAATCACCAGTGATGGTCACTTCCGCCCTTTTCCACGAGTCTCCCTGATCTCCCTTCATGTTCCAAATTTTGTTTCCGCCGTTGTAAAGATTCAGTGCCCTGACATGAACCCCGTACATATGATAGTAGAATGAAAAGCAAACCGTCTTTCTGTTTACTCCTTTGAATTTCAAACTTGCTCTGTCATAAGGGACTCTGGGACTTGAAGTCTCAATATAAACGTAGTATCCTGTAAAGGAAAACAAGCAAAAGTTCATATTAAAGGACTCCATCGTAATTCTAATGTGGAATTTTTTTTTATACTTAAAGTAGTCTTGTTTTCCACCTTTGACTATGTACTACAAATCTTACTTTGTATGCATTTTTGTCTCGCTTTATATGACTGCATGGTTTAAGTCATAATTTGCGTGGCTTTTGGCTTGAAGCCGAATCATTTTTGTCGCAAGTATGTTAGTCAGTTTCCGATTTAAATTCTCCATTTTCTTATGATTATGACTTAAAGAAGATTTAAGAGAACGGGGAAGAAAAAAATGACCCAAGTTATAGCAGATTGAAGAAATAGAATAAGCATTTGCTGAAATGATTTCGTTTCTTTATGTTCCCTAACCTTTCCCGCCGTGTCCAGAAGATGGCCCGGTCCCGGAGGAAGGAGTAGAACCACTATTTTGGGTCCAATCAAAATCATCTGATGTTGCTTGTTTCCACGAGCAGAGATCCTTCTCAAAATCACAGGATGGATCTTGAAGAAATAAGCCATTTATTCAACACGGAGGTAAATAAAGTTTTTGAGGAAAAAATGTCTTACCTGTTCGTACTCTGAAAGAATAATTTTCACATACGTACGACTATTTGATTAGGAAATTTTCCTTCACACGCTCATTTCGTGGCTTTTTAGACTTAAATTTGACATAAGCTTTTCAGAACTTTGAATATTACTTATAATATATCATTTTCACTCTGGGAACTCTAAAATGCTTATCGCCATTACACTTCGAGCACTGCGTGCTCAGCTATTTGAATGGTTAGCTTTGCGAAGTTTGGCTTTGCAAATGTTTCTCTCCGATGATACAAAAAACCCCATCTGTTCGTTTGTGAGGATTAGAAAGCACTAAAAAGGAGATTATGACTGACCACCAATTTCATACTTTTATTTCCAATAATTACATCAGTCATTGCTGTGCTATACTACGTTATTTATCCTATTTTGACTAATTCATTTCTACCTCATTTATTTAGCATTCGTTAGCATCTTACCGGAGTTAGATGCTGTTGTTGGTGGTTGAGTTGTTGTTAGTCGGGGTGGCGGTATTGTGGTTGGTGGTATAATCCCACCATTCATATTTCTGTCGATCCACGACCTGAGGTATCGTACCTTGGCGTACACCCCGTACTTATTCGGAGCAGCACATCCATATCCCCAACTTGTAGCTCCCTCCAGATACCATCTGCCATTGAACTTACATACAAGTGGTCCACCACTGTCTCCTTGGCAAGCATCTACTCCGCCTTGGTCCAGACCTGCACACAACATGGAGTCGTGGATTTTTCCTGGATATCCTTTGAGACATCGTTTTTTGGATACCAGGGGGACGGACGCTTCCATCAAGGCATTAGGTTGACTACCTCCAGAAGAGAGCGTACCCCAGCCAGTGATCCAGCACTTCGTGTTGGGGTCGTCAATGGGGAGAGGAAGGCTGGAGTCTGACAAGCAAGCAAGTCCAATACCTGTTTGGAGCTTAGCAGGTCTGGCTAGCTTCAGTAAGGCAATGTCGTGGCTATATCTTAGAGGGGTATGGTAACTTTCATGGTTGATGATTTGCGCGACATCTATGTCCTGTTCTGTTCCAACGGTACCACTTACCCTATAATGAGCACCCATTCTAGAAGGAAAAGAAGCAATTTGAGTATTTAAAACTTAAAGCATTGCATACTATTTTCATTGAAAATCAATCAACTGTTATATTTCATTCATTTCTGGGAGAGATAAACGTAAAAAGTTAAAATAAATTCCCCACGATTCACAAGAGACAAATGACCTAACGAACAAACTCAGAGATAAACGTACACGACGAGAGACAAGAAAAATAATTAAGATGAAAAGAAACATTTCCTTTGTCAAGGCAAAACGAGCCCGGTTACATCCTAAACAGGAATAAACCATTTAGCAAGATAACAAAGCCTATGAGTTGTTGATTTATATTTTGTTCAATTTATACCTGACTATTATTCCTGTTGGTTGTGCATTTTTAACACAGTGAGCTGCTGTTACAACCCATAAAGGATCTACCAAAGTTCCACCACAGAACTGGCCTCCATATTTGTATCTCAACATCGCCTGCCATGGCCAGCCATTGACAGAAGCTTCTTGACCACCTACTATCCTTGTGGAAGGTCGAAAACCGCATTTCCCTGAGAACAGATAAATGATTTGCAAGCTTACGTACGTGAAGCAATTCCCACACATTAAACAGTCCTCTCAGTTGCTAAGCTGAGTAAAGAGTTTGTCCATGAAGCCATTTGGGAGCTTAGTTTCCTTTTCTATCTTTTAAGCTTTGTTGCAATAACTATTTGACTTTCTTAATCATTTCTATTTTCCATCAGCTTCTCTGAACATGCCGATAAAAATCTACGAACACCTTCCGAGAAAATTGTACTCCGTGTAAAGCTACGAATCTGAATATTTGTTGTTTAACCCAAAACGTTAAGGGCATCCTGAATGAATATAGAAAGCAATGGCCCCTCAAAGCTTCTTTGCTTTTTTATAATTTTTGCTTGGTCCCATAGTACAATTATATTAATTTTTGTTCGCGCTCTTAATGGACACATTTACCTGGCAACACTGATGGGCCCTGACTTGGAGTTAGAGAAGGAGTGGCCGGTAGACTGGGTGACGGCGGTACTAAAAAGCAATTTCCGTCCGAGACAGATATGTCATCGATAGCGATGTCACCTTCATAAGAACCTCCAACGGATGCAGTGAAAACGAGCTAGTTTGGGAGAGGTAAAGGAAAAAGCTAGAACTGATTGAATGTTGGTAATTCAACTTTCAGGAATATGGAAGATATCTTTCTAATGAAAGTGAAGTGAAGAAAAAATGAAGGAAAAAAAAGTAAAAGATAAGAAAGGGATAAACAGAATCAGAAATTAATTAACAATGGGCATTGCATACCTTACAGCACATATCAATTAGTTACTGTACCTGAAAGTTTCCAGTAAGTGTGACTTGCGCTTTCTTCCATTGATCTCCTTGATCACCTGCCAACTTCCAAACATTTTTTCCACGATTATTCAGCAGAAGCTCATTGATATCATTCCCATACATGTGATAATAAAAGGTTAGGCAAACCACTGGCTTAGGGTTAGCTCCATCAAATGTTAATATGGCTGTTTCATCTTGAATCCTTGGGGAGGAAGTCTCAATGTAGATATATGACCCTATAGAGAAAATAAAGAAAAATTGAAAGACTGAACTATTGACGTTGAAATAGAAAAACTAGTTGTGAAATTGCTTCTTTTTTGAGCAACTTTGGTGGTTTTTATTCTCTTACCTTTTCCACCGTGTCCAGAAGATGGCCCAGTTCCAGAGGAAGGAGTAGAACCACTATTTTTTGTCCAGTCGAAATCATCTGATGTTGCTTGTTTCCACGAGCAGAGATCCTTCTCAAAATCACAAGATGGATCTGAAAGAAATAAAATAATAACTTGTCAGGGTAATAAATGGAGTTAGAGAGAAAAGGCAAAGATTTCTATCATCGCTTTTCAAGACTGACGAAAAATATTTAGAGATTGCTTAATCCCTAGCTAGAATACCTTTATTTCATCTGCAACTCGGAATGCTATTATCTTACATGTTCACGCTTCGCATACAGCGCGATCAGTTATTTGTATGTTAGACTTTCCAGACGTTCCTAGTCTTTTGTATGTTTTCATCTGCTTGATGGGGACAAGAGGGCGCAAAGAGTTACATTATGATTGGCCAATTTCGCGCTCAAATCTTTAAAAAATAACAATGGCCATTGCCGTAAAGTACAACTTTATTTATCTTAATTTAACTCAATAACATATCATTTTGATGGTACTATTATATTAAGTTTTGTGTGCTCTTGATACTCACTTTTCCCCGGCAACACTGATGGGCCCTGACTTGGAGTTGGTGGAAGAGTGGCCGGTAGACTGGGTGACGGCGGTACTACGAAACAATTTCCGTCCGAGACAGATATGTCATCGATAGCGATGTCACCTTCATAAGAACCTCCAACGGATGCAATGAAAACGAGCTAGTTTGGGAGAAGTTAAAGAAAAACTTACTACCAATAAAATGTTGAGCATTTAATTGTCGTTAGTATGGTGGGTACTTAAACGTTTTATAATAATGTAGAAAGAAGGAAAATAACGAACAAAATCAACTGCATGTAAGGAAGGGATGGACAGATAGACTAACGAGGACTCGGAAATTAATTTAGAAACTCTACCTGATAGTTTCCAGTGAGTGTGACTTGCGCTTTCTTCCATTGATCTCCTTGATCACCTGCCAACTTCCAAACATTTTTTCCACGATTATTCAGCAGAAGCTCATTGATATAATTCCCATACATGTGATAATAAAAGGTTAGACAAACCACTGGCTTAGGGTTTGTTCCATCAAATGTTAATATGGCTGTTTCATCTTGAATCCTTGGGGAGGAAGTCTCAATGTAGATATATGACCCTATAGAGGAAACAAAGAAAATAGAAAGACTGAACTATTGACGTTGAAATAGAAGAACTAGTTGTGAAACTGCTTCTTTTTTAAGCAACTTTGGTGGTTTTTTATTCTCTTACCTTTTCCACCGTGTCCAGAAGATGGCCCAGTTCCAGAGGAAGGAGTAGAACCACTATTTTTTGTCCAGTCGAAATCATCTGATGTTGCTTGTTTCCACGAGCAGAGATCCTTCTCAAAATCGCAAGATGGATCTAAAAGAAATAAACGAATAATTTGTCAGTGTAGTAAGTGGAGTTAGAGAGAAAAGACCTCAGCATGTTAAATTAGCAACCTTTGCTTTGTGAAAGCCAAAGATCTCTATTGACGCTTTTTAAAGACTGACGAAAAATATTCAGAGATTGCTTAATTCCTAGCTAGAATACTTTTATTTCATCTGGAACTCGAATGCTCTAATCTTGCATGTTCACCTTCGCATACTTCGAGATCAGTTATTTATATGTTTGACTTTGCAGACTTTCTTAGTCTTTTGTACGTTTTCATCTGCTTGACGGGGACAAGAGGGCGCAAAGAGTTACATTATGATTAACCAATTTCGCGCTCTAATCTATAAAAATAACAATGGCCATTGCCGTAAAGTACAACTTTATTTATCTTAATTTAACTCAATAACATATCATTTTGATGGTGCTATTATATTAAGTTTTGTGTGCTCTTGATACTCACTTTTCCCCGGCAACACTGATGGGCCCTGGCTTGGAGTTGGTGGACGAGTGGCCGGTAGACTGGGTGACGGCGGTACTACGAAACAATTTCCGTCCGAGACAGATATGTCATCGATAGCGATGTCACCTTCATAAGAACCTCCAACGGATGCAATGAAAACGAGCTAGTTTGGGAGAAGTTAAAGAAAAACTTACTACCAATAAAATGTTGAGCATTTAATTGTCGTTAGTATGGTGGGTACTTAACCGTCTCATAATAATGCAGAAAGAAGGAAAATAACAAACAAAATTAACTGCATATAAGGAAGGCGGGGAGAAACTGACTAACGAGGACTCGGAAATTAATTTAGAAACTCTACCTGATAGTTTCCAGTAAGTGTGACTTGCGCTTTCTTCCATTGATCTCCTTGATCACCTGCCAACTTCCAAACGTTTTTTCCACGATTATTCAGCAGAAGCTCATTGATGTAATTTCCATACATGTGATAATAAAAGGTTAGACAAACCACTGGCTTAAGGTTTGTTCCATCAAATGTTAATATGGCTGTTTCATCTTGAATCCTTGGGGAGGAAGTCTCAATGTAGATATATGACCCTAGAGAGGAAACAAAGAAAAAATGGAAATGCTGAGCTATATTAGGTTTGTTTACATAGAAGAAATTATTTGTGCTTGTTTAGCAACCTTCTTTCATTATTTTTGTTCCCTAACCTTTTCCACCGTGACCAGATGATGGCCCAGTTCCAGAGGATGGAGTAGAACCACTATTTTGGGTCCAATCAAAATCATCTGTTGTTTCTTGTTTCCACGAGCAGAGATCCTTCTCAAAGTCGCAAGATGGACCTTTAGGAAATAAGTGATAAATCTGTCATTATGATAAGTAAAGTTTAGAAGTAAAAAGATCTTAGCATGTTAAATTAGCCACTATTGCTTTGAAGAAATTGAGCGATACCTTAGAATATGTCATACCTTCTGGAAATCTGACATACTTATATCGATCATGTTCCGCGTACTGCGAGTTCAACAATTTGTAAGGTGGGTTTTTTTAAACTAAACCTCAGCTGTTCGGTGAGAATAAGATAGTCCAAAGAAATAAATTCTAATTGCCCAGTTCCGGCTTTAATTTAGTAAAGGAACAATTGACATGAATGTAGACTACTAGGTCGTTCATCTTAATTTGACAAAGAGGCATGTTATTTTGGACGAAACTACGAAAAGGAAAAAAGTACGGTGGTAAAGGGGAAACTGGATTGGCAGGCTCGGGTCTTAGCACTAACTGTTTTTGAAGAAGACACACTTTGCCCTCACAGTGCAAGTCTCTATTTTGATAAATGGAAGAACTCTTCGGCATAAATAGAGAATTTTCGGGAGCTTTGTGATGAGCAGCCTTGCCATCACAAGAGAATTAGCGGGACTCCTGGTAGCTACTCCACTCTAACGAAAGAGGGTCTAAATAGGGCTAACCATTTGCCGTAGAAGGGCCGGAAATATTTAGTTTGTGAATTTTTACCGATATTGCTATTGCGTTTTACCGGAGTTAGATGCTGTTGTTGGTGTTGCAGGTGCTTTAGTCGTCGTTGGTTGAGGTGGCGGTATTGTGGTTGGTGGTATAATCCCACTATTCATATTCTTGTCGATCCAATTTCTGAACTTGCCAACACGAGCAAACACTGTATATCGCTCTGCTGCAGAACATCGCGGAGAACCCCAGCTGACAGCACCTTGCAGAACCCAATTCCCAGCGGAAGTCTGACAAACATAAGGACCACCACTATCTCCGTGGCAACCACTGAGAATAGTTCCACTGACACCAGCACAAATCATGTTTTGAGTTATTTGTAGAGATGAGCCTCCTAAATAGATTAACAAAGCAGGTGTGAAAAATCCGGAATCGACACAAGGAAACAATGTGACTTATCAGGTAAAGACCCCCTAGAATTCCTACCTGGAGAGCTTGCAAGTTTCTTAGCACACTCGCTGTTTGTGACGGGAGGTAAATTGGCCTGTTGTAGTATGTGATGCGAGGACCCGGGATGCTTAATCTTGCCCCAACCTGGACAAACAAAGAACATTGCAACAAAGGAAAAAGGGTAAAAAATTAAAAAACTGGATAAAAAAAATCCGTAAAATCAAAGCAGAATATTTTTTTGCGAGCCTTACATATTCCAGTTACTTCAATGGCCATTTCCTTAGGGGTTACGTTAATGCAGTTATGTAAAATTCTTCAATTTCGTCTTGAATACTTTGATAGAGAAGACTACATGTGTTTAACGTTTGTTTTCCTTAAGAAAACCGTTATACCGTTATACCGTTTTTTTTGCGTGGGACGAAATAACAATGTTTTCAACCCAAATGGATTTAGTACAGAAAGCGATTGCTATGTTTTCAATGTAAGTAGTATCTTCTTGATGTGGTTTCTCTCTCGTGTCATATAGAACCTCCATAATTTATTACCCTCTAAATTTGCAAGAATTCATTCTACCCTATTGAATAGTATCAATTTGCTGAGCTAAACAAACCCGTGATAAAGCATCTAGAAGACGTGGGAACAACTTCATCCTGAGAAGGCAGACATACAGTTTTTACTCTGGCATTCAAGGTAGCTGGTTTAGATAACTGAATCAATGCGATGTCGCTGTCGATGGGAATTTTGTTGTAATCAGGATGTACGATTACACGTTTGGCAGGAATATCTTCTTCAGTTCCCTCATTAACATGACGGTTATGATCTCCGAGGCGGATCGTGTAGTAACTTCCAGGTCTGTAACAAAGTCGGCGTTAAAGAAATGAATTATTTATGAAGAGGAAATGAGTGCGTAACACAGAGTCAAAGTATATATGTATCCCGGAAAAAGCTGTGCTCAATCATGAAATAAAATCCAATTTTACGTAATTAAACTCAACTGTCGATCGAAATTAATAAAGAAATATTTACTTGGCCTCAACGGTGTTCAAACGTTATCCAACCCGCTCGGCGCGAAATTGCTCGAGTGGGTTTTGCAGGTTTCTTGGGCCACTCAACTGAAGAGCTCATCATAACAAAAGTAGCGTATTCATTATGATTGGTCAAGGTTATGCTCTTTTCCTGGGGAAATTGTGCAAACGTTTTTTGGTTTTTTGCTTGTTTGTTTGTTTGTTTTTTTAATACAAATGTACGTACTGTCCTCTTGAGATACAATGAGCTGCTGTGACCACCCATTCAGGAGTTATCAATGATCCACCACAACTGAAAGACTTGCCACTTCCTCTTAAGAGCGCAATCTGAGGGGAGAATAAAAATCCCCAAACACTGAGAGGGCTTTGCAATCTAGTCTCTCTACATGTGACTCGAAAAACCCAAAACAAAATAAAGCAAAAGTCATGCGTTTTTCGCAACTGGACTGTGGAAAATCACGAATTATCAAGAAACAGCCATACCTGCCAAGGCCAACTCCCTGGGTTTGCGTTCACTCCTCCAATAACCCTCGATACTGGTGATTTACCACACGATTGCGGCGACACTACACAGTAGAAATTCGTACGATTAGGAACACCTTTTTTCTCAACCAGGTGACAAATCTGAGTCTTTTCGCAAAATGATATTCCCTACCTGGTCCCTGTGTCGTCGGTGGGATAGGGGGAAGAGACGGTGGAGGGGGAATTCCTCCGCAAGAACCATCTTGTACAGATATATCATCAATGGCAATGTCAGCCTGATAGGAGTCCCCTGAAACTCCTTCAATTTTAAGCTAAATAGGAAAATTATGGATGTTACTTTCCTTTATAATCAAAACGTCGTATTTTTTTTTTTATACGTAAATTGATTGAAACGTTCAAGGCCAACAATCGTAAGTTGTACACATGAATTATGACAGAAACAGAATCAAGAACAACGAACGATGTCTTTGAAATATCCAATATTTTGCAGGATCCGAGGCCACTGCAGCGCAATTCAGTTGAATTTCCATCTCGCTTATGGATCGAGACCAAATCATAGTCACGTTTATAATCGCCAACTATTAAAGAATCTAGTCATTCGTTAATAAATCAGCATTTTTCCGTCAGTCCAACCGAACAACTTGCTATTACACATTCACTTTCTTGCGTGGGGTAATGGGTTGGCTAGATTCGGTTGTCTTTCTCAAGGAAGCATCACAACAGCCCAGCCAGAGCTCAATCAGCTTCTATACTCAACTTACGTCGTAATCACCAGAGATTGTTACTTCTGCCCTTTTCCACGAGTCTCCCTGATCTCCCTTCATGTTCCAAATTTTGTTTCCGCCGTTGTAAAGATTCAGTGCCTTGACATGAACCCCGTACATATGATAGTAGAAAGATAAGCAGACTGTCTTTCTGTTTACTCCTTTGAATTCCAAAATTGCTCTATCATAAGGGACTCTGGGACTTGAAGTCTCAATATAAACGTAGTATCCTGTGGAAAAAGAAAAGCAAAAGCAAATGAAGGAAAAAAAAAAAGAACAATTTATTTGAAAGGCTTCCACGGTCATTCTTAACTAGAAAACTTTAAGTAGATATGTTCATCTAAGTCTATCTTTACTCGAGTGTATGATTTAGGAGGTAGTTTTCAAATAGTGTCCTCAGCAAGCAGTTGCTTTATATCCTCTAACCTTTTCCACCGTGTCCAGAAGATGGTCCAGTTGAAGCCGAAGGAGTAGAACCACTGTTTTTGGTCCAATCAAAATCATCTGATGTTGCTTGTTTCCACGAGCAGAGATCCTTCTCAAAATCACAAGATGGATCTAAAATAAATAAACAATTGATTAAAGGGAAGTCAATCCATTTTGGACGTAAAAAATATGTTCAATCTTTTCGTACTTAGAAAGATTTATTATTTTAGCCCGTCAAATACAACTGTTTCATTAGCAAAATTTAACTTCGTGAAGTCTAAGGCTTTTTTCTTATTTTCTTTGTAGAGTTTAATGTAAACAATTTAGGGGTTCGGGTATTCCCTAGAACATTATCTTCTGGGCTTAGACTCAAAAATTCTTATCTCCATCCTGCTTTGCGCATTGGGAGCTCGGCTACATGAATGGTTTTGCTTTGTAAACGTAGTCATTTGTACAGTCCAACAAACTCCATCTGTTTGTTGCGTACTAGGAAGCAATGATAAGCATAAGTTTTGGATTCGCCAATCTCGAGCTTCGTAATTCACTCCAATTATGCTTAAGACCTAGACACTTCAAGGCCACATGCATCTGGTGTATAATATAACAAATTAAAAATTAAAGGAGTTTATATATATTCGTTTGACAATGTGTTTGTGCAAAAATGTTCAATAAATTAAGTTTTTGTCAGAAGGTAGTGGTGGAACAAACAAACTTCCTCGGCAAACAAGAACCTTGAATTTGATCTTGCGAATCGCATACGGTCAAGGAACGAACCGCGTCAAGATGCTGAGATATTTTTATTTGCATTTGGGGATTGTTACATTTTGCAATAATGTCGTAAGGAGACACGATTATGTTCTTGAGTGAGCAGGTAACGAAACAAAATATTTAATAACTGACTCCATGGGAAACAGTTAGTTTTGTTTCTTCTCGACCCCTTTGTTCCCTTCGGCTTCGCCACGTCTCTCGTCTTCGGCGAACAAACAAAACTATTTGTTCGCATTGCGTTAGACGTTAATTAACAGTTATGGCAGGAGAGAAATAGCACGTTTCAACATCAGAAAGCACAAAAATGCGAAAGTTTAAACGCTCGAGTCTTTTCTGCCAAAGAAGCATACAAACAAGTTAATAGAAAAAAAACTACTCTAGTGGTCATGGGCTCGTGTTTCAGCCTCATTGGATCGTTACAACTGGTATTCAGCCATTGTTCCTTCACATTGAACTACCATTATGAGACCACAGCTTCGCTCTTTTGAATTTTTTTTAAAATAAAATTTGACCTTTTGGGCTATTGTTCATATAATCATGATGAAAAACAGTGATGACCAAGAATCTAGCTGATTATGAATTCTTTCGTACCTGAAGATGACGCTATGACATACGGTAAGATAGCGCCTGTCCATTTTCTTGTCGTTATCGATCGCGCTGAACGCTTATTCTGATTTTCTGTTTAGTTACAACCTACTGCTTCTCGGTTACAGACAAAGTTAAGCACATGCTTCGCAAATTAAACGATTTTACCTTTGGGGTCTGAAGCGATCGTAGAGGCCAAAAGGCAAAGGCAAACCACAAGACCCTTCTCGTCCAACATCCTGGAAAAACTGAGTTCAATGGTTTCTCACCACGAATTTTAGAACTTGAAATAAAGTAAATGTGCTTGTGCGAGTTTACTTAACTGCTACAGATGACCTAACATAAGTTGCTACAATGAAAGAAGTGTGAAAAGGATTGACCAAAGACCTACTCTAATTTCTTGGGTAACAAAAATGTGTTAGAAAATTTTGTTTGTTAATGGTGCTTCTCTCTTTTGATTTCGGTTTCTCTTGAGTACATCGATATATTGCGAAACCTCATAATTTTTTCTAAGCCCCATATTTCAGGTTCGAATGAAATTTCAAAGCGTAACACTTGGAAAAGGCTGAGAAAGCTCTTAAAGAGATAGGTGTTTAAGGATGTACTGATTGAATGAAATGTCCTGATTGCAAAATTGAGTATTTTGCGTCCAAGATTTTTTTAACGTTTCATCAAATAAAACACCGAAGGTGAGAGCTGCTGAATTGTATGTCTCGAAGGAAAAATATATACACCAGGTATTACACACTTTTTTAAAGGAAAACAATGAAGGATATAATTTCTAATTATTAGAGATTCAAAAACTGGGAAATACCGATTTGATAGCAGTGCTCTAAAACTAATTTTAAGAATAAGTTGTTAAGCTGACATAGATTTTTCAGGTAGTCTACCCACCCATTCATGCTTTTTTTTTCCGGGGAACAAATCTCACCTTTCTTTTGCAATGCTAAATGGTGCGTGTCAGGGATTGGGTAGGGAGGAACCTTCAATTGTTCTAAAAAGTGATGAAAAAGATAAATCAGGGTAATAATAAGTACTTTAGGAAAACTTGCAAAATATCTGTGGTTCTCAGATCGCTCTTTAATTAGCTTTTTTCCTTAAGCATATTCCCTTTGGAAGTTTAAGATACAAAATAATTGAGATGATATTTGCTGTGCTTGAAACGTTGAAGGACACTTAACGCACTAGTAAATACTTATGTTTCGCGATGACTCTTGTTAAAAAGAGTTTATTGCCTTGAAAGATTTAGAAACCCGACGACGGCGGGGTGGTTTTATAAATTATTTTTGACGCATTATTATTCAGTCGTGGAGGAGGGGAATGGGAGCTAAGGCGGCGGGTTGAGCCGTTGACTACCGTGATGCATTTCAATCTCCCTGAACAAAGCCTCTCTGAATAAAACGCGGGGTCCACAGTTTTGGTCTTCATAATCCTTTGGAATACGTAAAGAACGAAATGTTACTCTATCGGAAACTTAAAATTTTACAAGCCTTTTTTTCTTTGACTTGAGAAATCTTATGAGAGCCTTTACAAAGACTCCAATACATTCAAACAAAAATACCGAGGGAAATTAAAAGACGTGGAAGAGTGGAACCGCGCGTAGCACTTTGTTTGCACGAGACCTGCTAAAGCGTTTCGCAGCTGTCCCCTCTTTTCAACAATAAGTAAACAACACTATAAAAATACGTTTGATACAATTGAAACATTTTTGCAGTCTTTCAGCTGATCAAACAAAAGTTTGCTGACTGAGTGTTATATTAGGTAACAAAAGAGTTCGAGGTTACAAGACAAATAACTCGAGGCGTTGGCTGAATTTTAGCGTAATTTAAGAGAGGTATGTGACGAATTCGATTGTAATTATAGGAAAGAATGGCCAGTTGATGTGACGCTGAAGTGATACAGACAATTTTTTTTTGTAAAAAAGCACACAAAAGGTGCTTTTACATTGGAAAGAAGTATATTTTCAAATGAAAACTTTCAGTTTAATTTCATAAAAATAAAGACAAAGTAAACATATAGGAATCCGAAGTAGGTACAAGAAAAACTATCAGGTAAATATAATATGATCCAAATAGAGGGTGAGAGGGGACAGGAGACAGAAAAAATATACACACTCAATGTTTTCATGCATTCTTTTTTCCATTGTATCAGTCAAATTTTAAAAAAAATTTTTTTCTCTTTCAAATTCATTATTTTATAAAGAAAAACGAGGCTTAAATGGTGTTCCACCTATCTAGGAGCGATTACAAATGTCGACTTATTGACCGAAATTTTTCTCAATTCTATTTTTTCCCAAGGTTTGGATCGAATATTAAAAAATAGCCGGCTGTTGAATAATTCTCCATTTTTTGCGTCACGAGCCAAATTTGATTCTCAGCAAAAACCGCCCAAGAGATGAGCGATATTAAGTGTTAATTGTTAGATTTTGTCAAACGCTGCGAATGAAATACTGTGGCCGGCACAACGGAAAAAAAATTTTGCCACAATTTTTAAAGCGTTTTCCGTTGGTTGAAAAATAAAATGCGAAAACGTAAGTGACAATCTTTTGCGCATCAGCTCGAGTTGATGAGACCTTTCCTTGCGAACTGTGCAAACTGTCAAATTAATGTCGTCAAGTTAAAAGGAAGATTGCTCAAAAAAGGTAACAAAATAGCATGCGATAAGCTGGTTGTGCTAATTAGTCCATTTGTTGCATGATAAGCTAGGTGGGTAACAAACAAAAAAGAAAAAAAATGCGAAGCTTTGTATAGATGTGGATATGGAAAAAAGCTTTCTCAGTATCCCTTGTGCAGATCTAATAAATCTTGATTGGAGGGGAAGCGGGTATAGAGGATCAGTTCTCTCAACTCATATTCTCTTGTAAAGGAATAAAAATTCAATGCCAGGAAAGCACGATCGGTTTCAAGTGGGAAGTAAAAACCTTTTTGGCGAGAAACTTTAGAAGTGAATGCGTCTTCAATCGAAAATAAACGTTCAAACTGAAAGATAGTGTCTTAAATCTGAAATAGCGTCTTTAATTGGACTATATTCTCAAGGAGGGACGATAGCGGCTTACATCAGACCTCAGCTTCCGAAACCGGATAATAGCCGTGTCTTAAATCGCAACAGAACGTCCAAAACTGAACGAAAACGCTTAAAATCGGACAATAACTTCCATTCTAGCGGAGAACGTCGCTGAAACCAGAAAAGGGGAACAGGAAATGAGAATGGGTTCCCGGGACTCAAAGGACAGCGGTTACCCGCATAACAATTCCAAAAGGCGAAGGAAAATACTTAAAGGGTCTGCACACCAGATTTGAGCAAGCAATCCTCGAATTCCGTCGTTAAATGAAAAAGGAAAAAGTATGGACAATGAATGAAATTATATTGAAGGGCTTTTAACTTGATCTAACTGTTGCGATCGAGTGGCCGAGAATCAATCGAAGGCCTTAAAACATTTGAAAAGTTAATTCATAGAATCCTTAAGCAGTCACAATGGCAACGCTGGGAAAGGCGTCGATTAAAGAATTTATTTAAATTTTTTGTTGGAATTTCGCAAATGGCCGGATGTGTTTACCGTCTCTAAGGGCAACACACCCCAACTTCAACATAAAGTATGTGAGTAACACTGAGTTCCGATTGGAAAATAAAATTTGCCGTCGGAGTTTCTGTTCTCAGTCAGTGATAGAGTTCCTAAGTTCCTTTTAGCAGTCGTAGTGAGAGCTGTTTCAATTTTCTCGTTAGAAGATATTCTAACAGTGAAAATGCTCGTGGATAATAAACAAAAGCCTTATCAAAGATATA